GACAAAGGAGACAAGAACATACAATGGGGTAAAGATAGCCTTTTTAATAAATGAACTTGGGAAAATTAGACAGATACATGCAAAAGATGTAGGTAGACCATCTTCTTACACCATATACAAGAATAAACTAAAAATGGATTAAAGACTTATGTATAAGACTCTAACCCATAAAAAATCCAAGAAGAAAATATAGGTAATAAACTCTTTGACATTTCTTTTCGTAATATTTTTTTCCTGATATATCTCCTCGGGCAAGGGAAATAAAAGGAAAATAAACAAATGGGACTACATTAAACTAGTAAGTGTTTACACAGGAAAAAAAAACCAAACCTATCAATAAAATGAAAAGACAACCCTCTGATTGTAAGTAATTATTCACCAATGAAACATCATTAAGTTAATATCCAAAATATATAAAGAACTAATACAATTCAACATCAACAAACAAACCATAAAAAAAGGGGGGGGGGGCAGAAGACCTAATAGACACCTCCCCAAAGAGGTCAATAGACATGGGAAAAGATGCTCAACGTTACTGATCATCAGAGAAATGAAAATTAAAACCATGAGATATCACCTCACACCTATCAGAGTGGCTATTATCAATACATCAACAAACAACAAATGTTGGCGAGGATGTGAACCCTTATGCACTATGGTTGGTAGGAATGCAGATTGGTGTAGCCACTATGGAAAACAGTAAAGAGGTTCATAAAAAAATTAAAAGTTGAACTACATTATAACCGAGAAATTCCACTTCTGGTTATTTATTTAAAGAAACACAAAATACCAAATTGAGAAGATACATGCAACCCCTTTGTTCACTGCAGCATAATTTACAATAGTTAAGATATGAAAACTTAAGTGTCTATCAATAGATGACTGGATAAAGAAGATGGAATATTACTTGGCCATAAAAAATGAAATCTTACTGTTTGCGACAACATGGATGGACTTAGAGGCTATTATGCTAAGTGAAATAAGCCAGAGTAAGAAAGGAAATACCATGTGATTTCAATATGTGGAATGAACAAAATAAATGAACAAACAAAAACAAACAAGCTCATAGATACAAAGAACAAACGGAAGGTTGCCAGATGATGGGAGGGTGTGTGTGTGTGTGTGTGTGCTGGAAGGCTAAGTAAATAAGGTGAAAGGATTAAGAAGTACAAATTTGTAGTTACGAAATAGTCATAGGAGTGGCAAGTGCAGCATAGGGATATAGTCAATAATATTGGAATAACAATGTGTGGTTCCAGGTAGGTACTAGACTTATCAAGTTGATCACTTCATAAATAAATGCCTATATACCATGCTGTACTCCTACAGCTAATAAAAAATAATACTGAATGTCAACTGTAATTGGGAAAAAAAAAAACAGGAAAAGTCATTTTAAAAATGTTTTGGGATTTTGGGTCTGATGAAGAATTAAAAAAAAATGTTTTTATAGATTTCAGAGAAAGGAAGGGAGGAGAGAGATAGAAATAATGACAAGAGAGAAACATCGATTGACTGCCTCCAACATGCCCCCTGTAGGGGACAGAGCCCACAACCTGGGCATGTGCACTAACCATGAATTGAACTTTGACCTCCTGGTTCATGGGAATCACACTTACCCAACTTAGCCAAGAATAAGGTATTCTGGGCAAGAAAAGTTATTTTTGTGAATAGATTCTGTAAATTAGCACTGAATAAGCTTTTTACCTTTTAATTGTTTTTATGAAATAAAAGAAAAAAAGGTTCTGTACAAAAATGATTTTGTACAGAAAACACAAAAAGTGTGTTTTTTGAAGATGGACTATTTTAAACTCTGATATTAAACAACTATTAAACTAGTAATAATAAAAACTTTAAGCACTCTTTCAAAAATGCTGCAATTACATTTTATCTTTTTCTCTACTTATACACTTTATCTTTTTCTTTATTTATAATAAACTAGTGGCCTGGTGCACGAAATTCGTGCACATTAAAAGGGGATTAATTAGAGGAAATATTTTAGTATTGCTGTTTGCCCTTTCTCTATAATAGAAGTGTCAGAGATGAAAGAAAATTAGTAAAATGTGTATGAAAATCTTCTTCCTGTCAGAGTCTGGGGCGCACACAGAATACAGAGTAAAGTCTCTTCCTACCCACATGCACCTCAAAATCTTGAGAGACCTAGACCCAGCCAGCCCTCCACCCATTGGGCTAGATCCAGACCTGGCTGGTTTCACCCTTGTTAAGCCCCACAGGGTGGGGGGTACAGCCTCAGGTCCCCCATCAAGCCCCGCTGGGTGGTGAGCATGACTTAAGGTCCCCTGTCAAACCCTGCCAGGTAGAGGGCACAGCCTGAGGTCTCCCAGCATGACTTGGGCCAAGGGCATGGCCTGAGGTCCCCCGGCCTGGCGCCAGGGTGATCTGAGGTTCCACAACCTGGCACCAAGGCAGGGGGCATGGCCTGAGGTCCCCTGTTAAGCCCCATGGGGGCGGGGTGTGGGAGCAGCCTCTCAGGGCCCTATTCATTGCTTGTTAAGGCTCTTAACAGGAACTTGGCTTCTCCTGTGGGTGCAGCTATCTTGTGTTATGGAAACCCTGCCTCCGCTGTGGGCGTTGCCATCTTTGTGGTGGTGTGACAATTTTCATATTCCCTCTTTATTATATAGGACAAGTTATTTTACAAACAGGTCAGATCCCATTGATTTTCTCATAAAACTAGTCTTACAGCAAGAGCAAATAACTGTTCTGGGAGTTTGTATAGTTTAAAAAGACAGTTGAGCCAAAACTGGTTTGGCTCAGTGGATAGAGCATCGGCCTGCGGACTGAAAGGTCCCAGGTTCGATTCCGGTCAAGGGCATGTACCTTGGTTGTGGGCACATCCCCAGCAGGGGGTGTGCAAGAGGCAGCTGATAAATGATTCTCTCTCATTGATGTTTCTAACTCTCTATCCCTCTCTCTTCCTCTCTATAAAAAATCAATAATATATATATTAAAAAAAAAAGACAGTTGAGCTCTGATGTTTCCTTGAGTGAGGATTAACAACAAAAAACAGTTAAGAGTAAACATCATTAGCCCTGGCCAGTGAGGCTCAGTGGTTAAAGTGTTGGCTCTTACACTTGAAGGAACTTGGGTTCAATTCCCAGTCAAGGGTATATCCCTGGCTCAGTCAAGGTGTGCATGAAGCAACCAATGGATGTGTCTCTCTCATAGCAATGTATCTTGTGAAGTCACGGCCAGTGTGGTCCTGGTTCAAAGGCTTGGAGAAAGAGATGACAAGCAAATTGATACACAAGACAAGAAATATAAATTTGGAAATTATGGGGGAAGCAAGGGAAAGCTTCCATCAAATCTCCGTTCCCATCTGCTTTTATTTATTAGAATACACAATTGCCTTTTAGGAATGCAAACAGACATATCAATGGTAATGTTTAGTAAACGGTAAGATTATTATGTTGGGAGAGTTTGCTTTAGGCCATTGAGTCAGCAGTAGGTAATAAAATGCAAATATTCATCCTGTGAATATTCAAAGAGCTCAAGTCAGCCTCTGACCAGACTTCTCATTGCTGCCCCTCCCCCAAATATTAATGTAAAAAATATCTGAGGGTGAAGATTAAAAAAAGTAAGCATGATTATTGTTAAGTTACTTTTCAAAAGACAACATTAATATATAACATTCTTTTATTGTCCTTTGAAATACAATAGAAAATATAAAGTATAAACATTACTAGGCTGATTCGTATATTAACTGTCAACTCGGGAAATCTTTTAATCTGTAAAGACACAGCTAAAATACAGATAGATCAATGATTCTCTCTCATCATTGACATTTCTCTCTCTCTCGCTCTCTGAAATCAACAAAAACATATTAAAAATAAAAATTAGAACAGTAGGTTTTTACTTAATCTATATTGTATCTATATATGAATTTCCTTGCATAAGAGTTCTGGTTTTCAAGATACTGGGGAATAACAGAATTAGAGTACTGCATGATGATGACTTACTTGTTTTATTCAATATTACATTCACAAGTCTTAAAATTAAAAATTAATAAATTTGGGATTGTCTTCATATATTAATCCCTATTCATTTGGTTAATGTGAATTTACTTGGAATTTACCACTTATGTAAATGAATCTATCCATGTTCAGTTACTGAACCTTAATTGCTAAAGTTTACAAGACTGTCCATATTATGAAATAGTAAGCAATGCCCAATATGCCATTTTGATCAGCTAAAAAATATATTTGGTGTTGTTACAAAAATATATTCCGCTGCAAGAAAAGAATCATAAATGTAATTTATGACTGCTAAGTTATAGAATGTTTCACTCGGTTCCTTTAGTCACATCATTCTTTTCTTCTTCACTTTGCTATTTATGGACAGTCACCAGGCTGATATGTATTCTTTTGGGTGTTTAAGCTTTTTAAATCCCATTGACGTTTTATTAAAATTATATGTTTAATATGGCATGAACTCAAATTTTCCATTAACACCTTCTTCTCCTAGGAACTTAGTTATGTCATATCCATGAGACTTCACTATCTAGAAACATTACCTCCCAAACTTGTATTAATTGTTTTTATTTTAAATACAAAAGATGTTATTAGAAAAGTATTTTAAACATTGGTATCAATAAATATAATCTTATTCAAAAGTTAGAAATAACTGGGGTGACCTAATTTTCTTTGGCAATATCACTATCTTTGATTATAGTTTTTATTATCCTTTTGGATCACTGAGTTAATTCAGTAAAAGTTATGTGACTGGTTCGAGGACAGATATTTAAAAATAAACACATGAAAATTAATCCAAATAATGGTAGAATACTCACAAGATTTGGCAAATAGAAATTCCTACATATTATTAAAAACACTTTGACCTGGATAGTGAATTATATATTCAAACTACATATACAGATTAATAAATCAGACAAAAAAAAAGTTAAGCTTGGAAATTAAAATGTTATTAAGAGGAAGAATTCTAAAAACTGAAATAATAATCATAGATAGCAAGAATTTTATTACCTTCAGGTCGATATTGTGCAACAATTGTGACAGCTTGTCCAGCATTTTTCAAAGCAGCTGCTGCCTGCTCATGGCTGGCAGTTCTGAGGTCAACACTGTTTACCTGTTAAATCAAATTGTAAATTTGAAAGAAAATGATCATATTCTTCACAATAACCTATTCTTTAAGTAGGCATAAATTTATATGCAATTGTTTTATAACTAAAATATATTCTTGTTCTAATTTACTAAAATTTAACGTACAGTGAAAAAAATATTTTTAATCAAAGGAATTTTATTCACTAAAAATACTTTGCTTATGTTCAAATGAGCAAAACCAAAACACTTCCCCCCAAGTTTTTTAGAAGGTTGTCTATCAATCACTTGAGAAATGTACCTTAAATTGACAACCTGAAAAATCAATATCTATCATCATTTTGTACATTTCATCTCACTAGTAATTTAAGCAATAGAGGAGGGGGATATTAATTTTGTAGCATCCTTTCAACTCCTGCCATATTTTCATTCTTATTTCTCATCTCAGTTCCAATTCTTTCCTTCCTTTCCCAAATTAAAGCTTCATTTTTTTGGAGTTAATACAAAAACAATTATTTAAAAGAATTAAAGTAACTTAGATTTCAAGGACTAACTACATTTAAATAGAGTAAATGTTAATAAATGAGTAAGAAGACATTTTTGGATAAAGAAGGGTGAAATAATTACTGAGAATAAGAAGCAACTTATTTCTGAAAGGATGGCAATACCTAATATATACTTCAAGGTGTCTGAAGAGATTGCACTTTTTCAATTGTAAGAAAACTTTAACAAGACATTCATGGAGCATTACATTCGAATGTAACAAACTTTAAATATTTGTCCCTGCTAAGAACCAGCAACTAATGGAATGTCAGGAACATCACTGAACATTGTTAGAAAGAAAGAAAAACCATCATACAATTTTTACAAGAGAACCTGTTTGGTCAGCACCTAATTTAAAGCCTATTAATGATCACATACCAATTTTGAAAATTGTAGGGATCCTAAAATGTACACAAAAGAAATTTTAATCATGTAAGATCTCAGTGTTTTATATTATATTTAAAGGATATCATAATGTAAGTAATTTCTTTATTTCACAGATATTTCTCAAGTGAAAACCAAGGTCCAACACCTTAATCTAACCAAATGTAATATAATGTGGTTTTTTTAGAGAATATCTCTAGCTGAGGGCTATACAAAACTCAGTACAATATATAAGAAGTTTTAATTTGAGCATAAAGAAAATCTTCCTAATTTTCAGGAGAACAACTGTATGCACCTACGAAATCACAACCCCAAACAAGATATACCTCTCCATTAACCAATCCACATTTCCATTGTGTCTCTTTATTATAGTCAGCACCAACATTCTGACTTCTATTAATACAAATTAGTGTTGCATGCTCATGATTAGCATGTAACTGGAACACATGCTAATTATTCACAATTATACAATTGCTGTGAAGTATATTGTGTAAACATACAACAATTTATCTAGCTACTTTACTGTTGATGAACACAAATTATTTCAAAATTTGGGTTATTATGAATAAGACTGTTTACAAACATTATTGTTAAAGTGATTTTTGTAGATATACGATTTTGTGGGTAAAATCTGGGTGATAAGGTTAGATATATGTTTAATTTCTCAAAAACATCCTAAAAAGTTTTTGTAGTGATTGTATTATTTTATCTGTCTACCAGTGATGAATGAGAGTTACAATAATTATTTCATACCCTCACCAATGTTTTATTGTCATCAACTTTTAAAAAATCATTTAACTGGGTGGATATGATACTTGGTTATGACTTTAAACATCTGTTTTTATTTAGGCATAATTTATATTCAATAAATTAATTTTTTTTACTGTACAGTTAAGAGTTTTGACTATTTTAAATGTTGTGTAGCAACCGCCACAAGAGAGAGAAAAGTTTCATAACTCCCACTTAAATTCCTCCAAGTCTTTTGTCAGATATAGGTTGCAGGAATATGGTGATACATGTTAAGTATATGCAGGTAAGGATTAGGTGGCAAGAGGGACTGATTGATAGAAAACTATAAAAAGATACAATGTACATTTTTTAATGCTTTTACTATCCTGTTCTAGCAAAATAAACCTTCAGTTTGAGGAGTATTTTCAGATTTTTTTTTCTTTATATTTTGTAGTTGAAAAGGTCTCTCTATAGATCTGTAAGAAATTCTTTAAATAGTCATCAATATTGAATATTACTGGCAACACAGGATATAGGTTTGTTTCTATATCTCAGATCGTACAATTTTAAAGTATTGCCTAAACTTTTTAATTAAAAACTAAATAGCATACAGGGTGGGACAAAAGTAGGTTTATAGTTGTGAGTGTGTGAAACAGTTTATTTTTGTACTAGAAGCCTGATGCACAAGATTCATGAATTGGGGTGGGAGCGGTCCCTTCAGCCAGGCCTGCACCATCTCACAGTCCGGGAGCCCTCAGGGAATGTCTGACTGCTAGCTAGGCCTATTCCCCCAGTCAAAAGCAGGGCTCAGGGTGGGTAAGCGCAGTGGTGGTGGCGGGAACAGGCCTAAGCCAGCACGTAGACATCCCCTGAGGGGTCCTGGATTGTGAGAGGGTGCAGCCCGGCTTCTGGCTGAGTGGTGCTCCCCCTGTGGGAGCACACTGACCACCAAGGGGCAGTTCCTGCATTGAGCATCTGCCCGCTGGTGGTCAGTGCATGTCATAGTGACAGGTCATTTTGCCTTTCAGTCGATTTGCATAATATGCTTTTATTATATAGGATTACTGTTTGTTAATTATTGTATTATTTTCCAAATAGCATGCATAAAGCAATATCTTCAAAGGACTGGACAACAACTGTCAACCTAGAATTCTAGACTGAATTATATTTCCACATCAGGGTAAAATAAAGTTATTTTCAGACAAACGCTAAGAGTATTTGTCAACAAGAAGTCATTGCCGGCCCCTGACCAAGGGATCAAAAAGTTTAACCCAATAGGAAGAAATGATGCCTTACAGCAGTTGTTCTCAACCTTTCTAATGCTGCAACCCTTTAATATAGTTTCTCTTGTTGTGGTGACCCCCAACCATAAGATGATTTTCGTTGCTACTTCAAAACTGTAATTTTGCTACTGTTAATGAATTGTAATGCAAATATCTGTGTTTTCCGAACATCTTAGGCGACCCTGCTAGCGGATTGTGACCCACAGGTTGAGAACCGCTGCTGTAGAGCCTAATGTAATATTTACATTACAATTCATTAACAGTTGAAAAATTACAGTTATGAAGTAGCAATGAAAATAATTTTATGGTTGGGATCATCACAACACGAGGAACTGTATTAAAGGGTTGCGGCATTAGAAAGGTTGAGTACCACTGCCTTAGAGCATCATTCTGATATGCCAAGGTTATGGGTTCAATCCCCAGTCAGGACACATAGAAGAATCATACAATGAAGGCACAAATAAGTGGAACAATAATCAATGTTTCTCTCTTTCTCAAATCAACCAATCAATTATTTTAAAAAAAAAATCACTGCTAAGAATAATCCAAGGGCTCCCACTAAGGTGCATCTGGATATCTGAGGGGCACTTTTGCTTCTTACAATAACTAGAGAGTTCTTCTAGCAAGAGAATGGGCGCTTAAAAAGCTAAATTTTCTACAATGAAAAAGACAGTTCTATACAATAAAACAAATCCCAATGCTGTTAGTGGCCTACACTAAAAAACACAGAAGGTATAAGAACAGCAACAAAAAAAAGACAGAACAAATAGATTAACTGTTAAAAAAAAAAAAAAGGACTCAGTTTGGGGGATATAAAAGTGAAACAGAAATAAAATACTAGAAACAGATCATTAGAATTAAAGTTTCCCAAAGTATGTGAGCCATTAGGTAGAACAGTGGAATTATTGATTGGTTTTAGTATAAAATTGAATAGACAACAGCCACATAAATGAACAAACTGAAAGTAAAAAGGGAAGAAAAGACTAAGTGAATATCAAGCAAAAATGTTAGCAGTTACATTAATATCAGCAATATACCTTCTAAGATAAAAACCATTATTATAAATATAGGGGATCAAAAAGTTCAACTCACGAGGAAGAAATGATGATTCTAAATTTAGTGCATTTAATAACAGTTTCATACACACAATGAAAAAAATTGCTACAAGGATAAAGTGCTAAACCCATCATCATTTTCAGATAGCTTAAAAAAATCTTTTTAAACAACATAAGTAAGCAAATAACAGATTAGAACAAAGATCTAAACTAAACAAGTAGCAAGGTTGAGTTAATACACATATAAAGACATAGGTTGAGTTAATAGACATAGTATAAAAGACATTTATAAAAATGACACTTATAAGTAAGCCAAATATCAAAATAAAATCTGTCATATAGATCATGTTCTCTGACATCACTATAATTCTACAATTAAGCTGTAAAATGATAAGATTAACTAAAATATCTCATACTTTTAGGATGTAAAAAATTTTTTAATAGGTCATAGTTAAAATAAAAACACACACATTACTTTGATTAACATATCCTACCGATATAATTCGATCTCCTTTTCTGAGCTCTCCACTAAGATCAGCAGGTCCTCCAGCCAAGATAAAGGAAATGAATATTCCTTCTCCATCTTCACCTCCTACAATGTTGAAACCAAGGCCTGTTGAGCCACGATGAAGAACAACTTTTCTAGGTTCCCTAAAAATTAAAATAAATATTTGTTTATCTTATAAATTTTATACAGAACTTGACAATGTATCAAAGAAAAAGCTTTCCCTATTGATAACTCGTTTCAATCTATAAAGAAAGCTAGATGAAATATAAAAGGGTTTTTGAAATTGTAGAGTAAGGAATTCTAACGCTAGAAATTAGGCTTAAAAATTAAAAGTAAAAATCCTAATTTTATGTAAAAGCAAAATCCATGTTAAGAAACAAACATGAAACTAAAATAAAAGGAAGAAAACATGAAACTAAAACAGAAAGAAGAAAACAATGGGGAAATTTAAAAAAATGACATAAAGAGCCTACTCAGGGAATCTTGTATATATAATACACTTAGGAAAATTGGTGTGTGCACATTTTATTGCCTATTTCCCCTACTTCTTAGATTTTGTAAAAGGCAGATATCCCTTTTTCCAATCCCAAAGGAATGAGTTCATGATTAACTTACGCCAGTCATGACCCTCTTCTGGCTTTTGAGAAATGGAGGGAAATTTCACTGTCATTTCCAAGGAAAGACAGGCCCTAACAAGGACAAAGCACATTTGTTTGCCTCCCTTCCCAAAATAACACCCCCCATGAAAAAAATAAATGATAAACCCCCTTACTGGTTTGAACACATAACAATCATGAAGCTAAGTTCAAAAAAAGGAACCATGGATCGAGGGTTGCTACATAAATATTGGAATTGCCCACCTCCAGATTTTTTAATATGAAACAATTAAATATCTTTATTTCTTAAGTCACATCCATCTATCTACCTACCTCTGCTTTTTGTCCTTTTTAAGATGCACTTTCCTCCCCCCCAAAAAAACCGCCTATTAAAAATCTCTGAAATAAAAATATATCTTAGCACTAAAAATGTTTCACATTTGCCACCAGTTATACATAGTTGTGTGAAAATCAATCATTTCATCTCATCTGGTAAGACCATGAAAATTCCAGCAGCAGATTATTTTATATAATGAAATACAGAACATCACCTGACATTAGATTATATCCTATCTGATAATATTTTTTAAATTTAATCTGATTTTTCTAAAACATCACAGAAATTTATTGATAACAAAAGGCTTAGAAGAAGTAAATAACTTTTACAAATGTATTTTAGGAATACTTCCATATAATGTGAAATTAAGCTTCTTAAATATATGTCTACTCAAAACTTAAAATGGTATTTTCTAGTCAAACAGATGTATCAGTTTTGCCAGTTCTTTTATAGTGTTAACAAAATTATATTTTCTTGTCAAAAATTGCAAAACTAAATATATACTGTTTAGGATATATAATATACACAAATATATATGAAAGAAAAAAGGGAATAAATCCAAAATTCAGAAAAGCAGTTAGCTTGGTGGGGCAGTGCAGAAAAGCAGGACATAGGATAGGTTTCACTATAATGGTGATGTTTTATTTTCTTGTTAGATGCTTTAAACATATATATGAATTCTATTTCTATAGTAGTAAATAAAACTTAATTAAAATTACCTGCTGAAATCCATTAGTATTTCAAGAGAAAAATAAATTCTAATTTTTTCAAAGCCCATGAAAAGATGCTTTGACATTATTAATAATTAAGAAAATGTGTAAAAGTCACAATATATCCAACTACTACAATGGTTATAAAATAAAACAAAACACGAAAAAGTGTTGGTGAGGATGTGGAAAAACTGGAATCCTAAAATTATTTATGGTGGGAATGTAAAATGATGTGGCTTCTATAGAAAATAGGTAGTTCCTCATCAACTTAAACAGTTACTATATGATCCAGCAATTCCACCCACATATATCTAAAGCAGCAATTTTCAACATTTTTCATCTCATAGCACATATAAACTAATTACTTCACACCCCCTACTGGGGATATGCCCGCAACCAAGGTACATGCCCTTGACCGGAATCGAACCCCGGACCTTTCAGTCCCCAAGCCGACGCTCTATCCATTGAGCCAAACCGGTCCCGGCTAATTACTAAAATTTGATGGCACAATAAAAAACATATTTTTTGCTGATCTGACAAAAAAAAAGAATAAAAAAGGTATAGTTTTGATTCATTCACACCAGACAGCTATTGTTGTGATGGCTATTGCCATGTGTGTGTGGTTGTTTTTTTTTTTTAATAATGCAAAATATAGGTTTATTTGTACACACACCAATGAAGAAAAGCAGTCTTCTGTCAAATGGAGAAGATCAAGATTCTTAAGCACATGATATTTTGGGGCCTACTACAATGGGAAGACATGCTTTGTTGCCTTCTGATGTTAAGGTCTATTGACCTAACACTTCAGCAGGCTATTACCATGGGTCTATCTCCTCCTGGGCCTGATTTGCCAATTGCTTATGATTTCCTAGCTGGACTGCAGGTGGTTTTCCTCACTCTAGAGCAGTGGTTCTCAACCTTTCTAATGCCACAACCCTTTAATACAGTTCCTCATGTTGTGGTGACCCCCAACCAGCTTTTACGCTGGTTCCCCAGTTATTTATCTCAAGCCTCAAACATTGGAAGGCAAATTTTACTCCCACATTTTCTTAGATATTTCAGGAATTCTTTTCCATATTCCCTCTTCACCTCAGCTTGGTCTTCAAAGAATTTGGCAAAAAGAGGTTGTACTGAATCTTCAATGGAATTATAGGCATAGATAATAAGCATTACTGATGTGCGGCTTATAGGATGCCACTTTATTAATAGCAACACCACGCTCTTCAGAGAGTGGTTGACTGGCTGCCATCTCAGCTTTAGAGAAAACCCAGCATAAACAGCTGTGCTATTGTCACGTTTTTGTTTTGTTTTTTTGACAATTTAAGGGAAAAGCAGTCGGTGCTCCTGATTAAACATTTAAGTATTGAATGTTTTAAAAGTTCTTGTGGCACACTGATTGAAAATTACAGAAACTGATACTCACATGTCATTGTTTACAATACCCAAAAGGTGGGAACAACTCAGGTGTATGTCACAGATGAATGGATACACAAAATGGGGTATATACACAAAATGGAATATTATTCAGCCAAAAAAAGTAATGAAGTTCTATACATGCTACAGACACACACAAAAGAATAAGTATTTTAAGATTCCACTTATATTAACAATATGGAATAGGCAAATTCATAGAGACAGAGAGTAGAGTAGTGGTTACCAGGAGGAGCAGGGAGGATAGGGAAATGGAGTTATTTCTTAGTGGTTACAGAGTTTGTCTGAGGTAAGGAAAAATTTTGGAACTATATAGCGGTGATGGTTGCATAATGTTATGAATGCAACTACTGCCACTGAATTTGCACATTTGAAAATGTAAAAATGGCAAATACTATGTTATGTATATTTTACCAAAAAATCAGTGTTGTACACTTTAAATGGATGAACTGTATGTGGGTCATATTTGTTAAAAATAAACCTTTAAATCAACTGTTTGTTGTGATTACTTTTATTTTATTTAAGATTGGTAATGTGAGATAATCTTTGAAAGATTGCTTTAGGATCAAACTATGAAAAATTTCTGATGAACAGGTGAAGGTTTTATACCTCAATATCCTAGCATAGTAGTGTAATTATCAAAAGGGAGTGATAAAACGCACACCAATTTGGGAAGACATATCTAGTAACCAACCACCTGAATTTAATAGAAAAGTATAATAGAGAAAACAGGTACTCCCATCATGCAATACTACAAAGTCCAATACAATATTTTAGAAAGGAGAAATATAAGTGAAAAAAAAAATGGGAAATAGCAATCAAGATGCTAATACAACATACTTTTTAGTTTGAAAAATAAGCAGAGATTAAAGACTAGATAAGCCATTAATTATTCTCCTCTTTACTTCTATAGGCACTATTAGAAAGCAACAAAATGATTATGACAGACTAGAGGCGCAGTGCTTAAATTTATGCACAGGTGGGGTCTGGCCAGCCCACCCCAATTGGGGCCGATTGGCCAGGGGGAGGGGCTGTGGGTAGTTGGCCAGCTGGCCCTGCCTCCCAGTCAAACTCCCGAATGAGGGGACAATTTGCATATTAGCCTTTTATTATATAGAATAACTATAGGAGCGTAGCCTAAACACTAATAGCTTTGAAAATTCTTATAATCATCACAAGATGATTATAATCATTATGCTTTCTGCTGATATTTATTGCAAACATAATCACTGCGCACCTTTTAAATTAAGTTCTCAACATTGCTAATTCTTATAGAAGAGGACAAAGACAAACATTCCTATATGACCTTAAAGAGATCACTGCTTAAAGGAGTAAAGAATAATTAGACTTATGAAGGTTCAAAAATAATAATTATAATAATGCAATTAATAAAAACATAAAAAAGACATTAATTACCATACGTTTAATGGTAAGTGCTATAATATGAAATACAACAAGTATAAAACAAACTGTACAAACATGTCTTATTACTATATGAAATGTGAAAAAGATCTAAAATACTTTTTCACTTTACTTTTCCCCCACATAGTTGGTGTTCTTTGGGAATAAAAAGAGAGTTAATCTACAAACTTGAGTGCAGTTAGTAATGTTAGTTGAAAGTATATTTTAGGTTTTAGAGAAAATACTACTCGTTGAATTCTGAAAAATAAATGCCATAACATTATATGGCATATATTAGATAAAAATATATGAAAAGTTAGTTTTAAATATCCCTAAATATGTTCTTGACTTTTACCATAGCTACTTTCTAATGATAATTTACCAATAATTAAAAAATAGCAATATTAAGAAAAAGCAGTGATTTATTTGGAATATAAAATATTTTTTACATTTCAGTCTCTTCAATGAATTATCCAATGAAAAATTAAGGTTTAGGTTCCTCATCTGTCAATGAAAATTTAGTCCTAAAAATTATGGCTATCCTACTTGGCTGATTAGAACTCCACCTAATAGTTGGCTTTATGTAACAAGGATGTATGTATGTTCAGTTCCTTACCGTGTAATTTCATCATCTCCAAGCACTGCTTTAGAAACAGGTGAGTATCTGGCTGGTGATGCCGGTGTCTGGCCCAAGTAGGAAGATGGGCTAACATGGTTATCAACAGGCTGAGAAGCAGCTTCAAAATAAAGAAAGCGAAAAACACTTGAAAAATGAAACAAGCTATTCAGTAGTACATTAGTGAATTAGAAAATTAATGTGTAATTCATATTCACTTTTTCCTATAATAGAATTTATTAGAAAAGATTTATTTGTCAGGTAAAAAAAAATTAGACAAGGTCAAGTTTCCAGGTAAAAACTAGTTCAAATATTCAGATCAGTAAAGCAAACTTGTAAAAACCAAATGATTAATAGTATGTTTCTAGTTTAGCATATAAGAAATGTGGAGATCATCACTCTGTCCTAAAAACAACTAAAAAGCTAAACAAACTGAAAAAAATCAACAATTCTTTAATCCTTAGGTCACAGGGCAAACTGTTGTCTCTCAAATTGGAGAGATTGGCAGCAAACAGAGAATCACAACTTAGCCAGAACAGAAACCTCTGTGGGAAGAATTGCTGAAGTGAAGCCTGAATCATAATTGACAAGTTTTTGGAGGCTCAGAGTGGACAACTCTGAAAGTAAAAAACACCAGGTGGACTCTGTCATCCAGGAACTCCACATTTTTATAAATTTTACCTCCTCGATCTCTTTAGGGTCTTAACAGTGAATACTGAGGGGGGGGGGGGGGGATATGCCCTTGTGCTTCTTTGCAGGAGGAAAGGAAAAAGAATCATTTTGGAAGACACAAGCATTCTGTTTTCTCAACAGAGTCTGCCCCTAGGAGGAACTATTAACTAGACCCTAACCTGCTAAGCTTTTATTGGGAAATAACCAACTCCAGCCCACTCTACCATCCCGTCACACCTATCTAAGGGAGGAAGTGGGAAATGCTGAGAAGCACTGTAGAAGTTCACATTCCAGAGGCACAAATTAACTAAAAGACTAAGACCTAATCATAGGACTATATATAGAACATTTTCCTTCCCCCCAAACTGTATCACCACATCATTAAAGGCCTATTTATTAGCAGCTCCTTTTACCCAGTACATCATGCTTAGTTATCAAGAAAAGTTTTTTCTTTTAAGACAGACTAAGAAGCAAAAACACAGTTTGAAGAGAAAGAGCAAGCATCAGAACCAGACTCAGATATGAAAGCAATGTTGAAATTATCAGACCAGGAATTTGAAACAATGGATAGTATATTAATGGCTCTAACAAAGAAGCCAACAGTATGCAAGAACAGATGAGCAATGTTAAGTAGAGAGATAGAAATTCTAAGAAACGAAAAAGAAATACTGGAGGTCAAAAACACTGTAATAGAAATAAATAATGCCTTTGATGGGCTTATTAATAGTCTGAATACAGCTGAGGGGAAAAAAAATATCTCTGAGCTTGAGGATATCACAATAGCAACTTCTAAAACTAAAAAGTAAAGACAAAAAGGACCGATTAACAACCTAGTAAAACCAAAACAGAATATCCAAGAACTGTGGGACAACTATAAAAGGTACACATAATAAAAATACCAAAAGGAGAAGGTGAGAAAGGAATAAAAGAACTATTTGAAACAAAAATGATTGAGAATTTACCCAAATTAATGTCAGACACCAAACCAAAGATCTAGGAAGCTCTATGCAGTATAAATGCCAAGATAATTAGACCTAGGCAAATCCTTTTTAAATTATACAAAGTCAAAGAAAAAAGGGGAGGGAAAGGAAAATATTCCAATAAGAAACCACAGAACCCCCCTCCCCGCCACCAACCTCATTGATAAAGGTGCAAAAATGAGAATTATATCTGATTTCTCCTCAGAAACCATTCAAGCAAGAATGTGGAAATATTTAGTGTTAAGAGAAAAAAAATACATCCTTACCCTGTATTGTGGGAATTTGTTGCTAGTACACTTGCCATTTCAAATGTGTGAAGACATTCTTCAGAGAGAAGAAAAGTCAGTAGGTCAGAAACTCAGTTATATGTAAAGAAAGAAAAAAGCATAGAAGAAAGAATAAAATAAAATAAAAACTAATTTTTCTTATTGATCTGACAGATAATAATGTTCAAAATAATGACAGCAAAACTGTATTCAACTATGTTTGTGTGAGTGTACGCATGTGCACTTATGTATAAATGAAATAAATATTAGCAATAACGCAAGTGATGGGAAGAAAAATTTAGGATTATTTTGTTATTATTAGACAAGATCAGACTCATTCAAGGTAGTATGGCCAGCGACTACATTGTTATTATTAAGTACTCACACTATCTGTGAAGCTGTATAGTGTTATCTGAAAGTGGATTTGGATTACTTGTACATGTATATTGCAAACTCAAGTGTGAGCACTAAGTCAGAGTAAAAAGAAAGTAAGTGACATTATAAGAAAGGAGAGAAAATGAAATAATATAAAATACTTAATAAAAACCATAAAAGGCTAAAAAAAAAAGTGAATGACAAATATAAGAACAAAAAAGTGCAACAAATTGCAACAAATATAAGAACAAAAAAACTAACAAATATAATACATATTATTCTTATTATATTCACTCTGAACACCAATGGACTACATGCACCAATTATAAGGTAAACATGGTCAAAGTGAATTAAAAAAACAGACTTAACTATATTTTGTCTACAAGAAACACACTTAACAATCTTTAACATGTATGCACCTATAACAGTGTCAAACTACATGCGGTCAAAACAGACAGAACTGCATCCACAGTCTCTTATTACAAATAGACAGACACAGCAGCTAGAAAATTAGTAAGGATATAGTTGAACTTAACATTATTAATCAATTGGATATAATAAACAAGAATAGACTATTTCAACCAACAGGAACAAAACACACATTCTTCTGAAGTTCGCATGAAACATTCACCAAGACAGACCACATCCTGGGCCATAAAACACATCTTAATAAACTTAAAAGAGAAAAGATACAATGTCTGCTCTCAGATTACAATAGAATTAAACTAGAAATATGTAACAAAATGCTAATTTAAAAATCATAAAATACATGGATATGAAATAACACACTTCTAAATAGTACATGGGTCAAAGAAGAAATCTCCAGAGAAAATAAGAAATGTTTTGAACTAAATGAAAATGAAAACACAACTTAAAATTTGCTGTAGTATTGAATGGATTTGTTAGAAAAGAAGATCTAAAATGAGTCATCATAATTTCCACCTTATGAAACTAGAAGAAAAGAGCAAGTTAAATTGAAAGTAAATTAAACTGAATTAAAAAATTATGCAAAATAGACTAAAAATAGAGAGCAGACAGCTGTGGTGGGAACAGGGAAAGGTGGAGGTGGGATAAAGGGATTGAGCAAAAAAGAAAGAAAACTCATGGACATGGACATCAGTGTGGTGATTGTAGGATGGAGATGGAAGAGGGTATAGAGGAGGTAAATGGTGATGGAAAAATAAAATTAAAATAAAAACAAATATTAAAAAAAGAAACAAATGAAATTAAAAACAGGAAATCAATAAGAAAAAGCACCAAAACCACAGCTGGTTATTTGAAAAGATCAATAAAATAAAAAGCCTGCAGCCAGGCTAACTATAAAAAAAAGTCAAGAAATTATTAATATCAGAAATGAAAAGGGGACACTACTACAGATCCCATGGACATTAAAATGATAATAAAGGAATACTAGGAGCAACCCTCTACTCACAAGTTTTATAACTTACATGAAAACGACTAATTACTTGAAAGACACACTTTGCTAACTCACAGACAAAATGAACAATCTAAACAGGCCTATACTTATTATAAAAAACTAGAGGCCTGGTGCACGAAATTCATGCATGGGAGGTGGAGGGTGCCCTCAGCCCAGCTTGCACGATCTTCAATCTGGGACCCCTTAGGGGATGTCCGATTACCGGTTTAGGCCTGATCCTAAACCGGCAGTTGGATATCCCTTTTACAGTCCTGGACTGCTATCTCTTAACTGCTCACCTGCCTGCCTGCCTGATTGCCCCTAATGTCCCCCTCCCACCCCCTGCTAGCCTGATCAGCCCTCTGCCTACTGGCCTGATTGTCCCCAACTACCTCCCCTCCTCCCCCCGCCATCCTGGTCACCCCTAACTCCCTCTCCCCGTGTTGGCCTGGTTGCCCACAACTGCCCCCGCCCTGCAAGCCTGGTCGTCCCCAAATACCACCCCCTGGTGGCCTGGTCGCCCCACGCAGACTGCTGCTCAGTTGTGTGGTTGTCCCTTACTAACGCCCCTGCTGGCCTTGTCGCCCTGTGTAGTCTGTTCAGTTGACCGTTTGGTTGTTTCAGTTGTGAAGTTCAGTATGTCACTTAGGCATATATATATATTGAATCAATAACTGATAACCTTCCAAAGCAGCAGCAGGTTCAGATGTGTTCACTAGTGAATTCTACCAAAAATTTAAGGAAGAAATTATAACAATTCTTCATAGTTTCTTCCAGCAGACAGAAGCCAAGGGAATATTTCCTAACTTATTATATGAACCCAGCATCAGCCAATTAACAAAACCAGACAAAGAAATTACAAAAAAGAAAAACAAAAAACCCCTATAGAACATCTTTCATAAACATAGATGAAAAAATGTTCAACAAAATATTACCAAAAAAATTCAACAATGTATAAAAATAATTATGAACCACAAGCATCTGAGATTTGCAATAGACAGTCAAATAATATGCAAGGCTGGTTCAACCTTCAAAAATCAATTAATATGATCTAACACATCAATAGGCTAACATAACAATAGGCTAACACAAGATCAAATCAACAAATGCAGAAAAAGCATTTAATGAAATCCAGTATCAATTTATGATAAAAACTTTCTGTAAACTAGGAATAGAGGGAGTGTCTTCAACTTGCGTCAGTCTGCGGACTGAAAGGTCCCAGGTTCAATTCCAGTCAAGGGCATGTACAGTGGTTGCGGGTACATCCCCGGTAGGAGGTGTGCAAGAGGCAGCTGGTCGATGTTTCTCTCTCATCGACGTTTCTAGCTCTCTAGCTCTCTCCTTTCCTCTCTGTAAGAAAAATCAATTAAAAAAAAAAAGTAATCTACAAAATTCCTACAGCTAATCTCAT